CCCCCAATTTTGCATTTTGAAATGCTCCCGATTTCTGAGGTCTAAAGGTTGGCAAGTATGGGCGTAAAGTAACTGACGTAAAAGTCGGGACGACTTCGGTACGCATTCTTTGTTCTCAGGTGGGTGTGTAGCGGCCTTTAGGCTCTCACGTACAATCTGTTGGAGTGCTAGCCAATAGAAGAGTGTGTTCTGGTTTACATGCACACAAACCTATGTAACACACTACAGGAAAGGAACAATCTCAGAAAGCATAGGGCTCAATAGGGCCTCTTTAAAAAAAACATGGCATACTGGTAAGAGATATCACAGAGTTGTTTTTACTTCATTATAACATAGTTTCTGAATCATTGGTATGAAACAAACGTAGAGCCGCTGTAATCAGCCTATGTATAACGTGCGTTACACAAGGAATATGCTGCTATCATATAGTGAGCACTATCAGTTCCTAGAGGGGACCGTCTCCTCTGTCGATCACTTCTGTGTAGCTCCAAGAAACTGGTTTGGCGATATTTCTTTCCTCAGTCTTCACCACACCAATAACGAACGAGGGCATGTGGCGCTATAGTGATGGTTCTTACTGATGCCTTTTCACTGGCATGGATTTCATGGTAAACATCAGGGCTGGAATTAAGGGAGGAAGTTTGGGTCGAAATTGACGTTAAGGTTTCCAGTTTAATCGCGAGCATAAATGCTGACAGCCTTAGTTAAACGCTTTAAAGGATAACACCCAGCAGCTTTGACATGTCAATCCTACACTGCATCATTCCTGCCTGCCTCAACAGGATTTTACCGAAACGCTGCACATCATTCAGTATTTTTTACCTAACACAATTCGTTACATCCATTTACTTGCTGAGTCATGCCTTCCATATGACACCAGTGTGTTTCAAAATGCAGTTAAGACACTTCAGATGTGCACACAACTATTTTTTGCATATTTAAACACTAACATAACACTGTTTGTTTGTTTCGCGAACACTTCATTGATTTGAAAATGAATACCCCTGAGGCTTCCTTGACCTTAACCATAACTTTAATGAAGAAATACAACTTTTTAGCTGAAGTTAAATGCAGTTGCAGTTTTAATGGCCACACGATTATGGCCCTAATTAGATGCTCTGTCCAACTTCCAGCTGGTTTAAAGTCAAAAAATTGCCCAAAAAGTGACATTGTACGGACCACACACACACACACACACACACACACACACACACACACA